GCCATGGCTCACAAGCCCAGCCGCTCCGCGGCACGTGGGATCTTCCCAGACTGGGGCACGAACCCGTGTCCCCTGCATCGGCAGGTGGACTCTCAACCACTGCGCCACCAGGGAAGCCCTCCTTTTGATTTTGATTTGGCTTCCAGGATACACAGAGCAAAATTCGGTCATGAATTGCAATAGCTACATTCAGTGTGGGTTTTTTGGTACTTGCTGTGATTTTCTTCTACTTTATGACCTATACCCCATTGATGATTACTATTGTCCTAGGATGTCTGTCTGTCTGTCTATCAACATATCTTTTATATGTGCAAGCAACTTGAAAGCCATTTTTGAAGAAGACAGAGTTATAACGTTATTCTTATAAAAATAAGGACTTATTAGGAAGAGTGATTGTCTGGTGTCTGTTACTGTGCAGTCCTCCTTTTATATCTACTCTGTATTTTTAAAATTTGCTAGATCGTCTCCAATCTCATGCTAATAAGAGAAATTCATTTATGGTTAGGGGCCAGTGGCTGATAAGGAATAGAGGATTCAGACTATTAAGAATCCTCTTCCTCTTGATTCTCTAGTATGCTTCTTGTTTGTGTTAATTAGGAATGTCTTCAGCTGTAAGTAGTAGAAAAACCTAACAATGACTTAAAATGTAGGGATTAGCTTTCTTGACAAGAAGTCTGGAGGAGAAAGGATGGTTGCTGGCATTTGTTCAGTTACTCACAATACCATTTGGATTCCAGGCTATTTCTGTTTTTCCAGTCTGCATCCTTAGAGTGTTTGCTTTCAGCCTTTGTGCTTATGATCTCATAGTTACAAGATGGCTACTGTAGCTCCAGCAGGAATGTTTGAGGAAGAAGAAAGGGGGAAAGGCAGAGCTAGCACTTCTTCTATGTCCTATTTTGTATTTAAAGCAACCATTTCCCCAGAATTCTTAGAAGCTTTTCATGACTTTACTGGCTAAAACTGTGTCACATGGGCACACCAAACTTTGAGGAAGGCTGGGAAAATGAATATTTAGTTGTCTCATTGCCTTCCTGAACAAAATTAGGGTTTATTTAGCGAGAATGAAGGGAAGAATAGTTATTGCTTAAGCATTTGAAAGTCATTTGACTTTGATGACTTTTTAATATGGTTTTTAAAAATGTATTTGTACTCTATATCATTCCATAAAAATATGTCGTGGTGCCTACATTTTATTAAAGTTGCCATATTCTGGTCTGGGGATACAATAGTAAATGGGGACATAAAGTAATTTTTCAGTCTAGAGGTGAAAAGGTATATGTTTTAATCTGCTAGGCTGGGTGGCTTAAACAAAAGAAATTTATTTTCTCACAGTTCTGGAGACTGAGGAGTCCAAGATCAAGGTTCTGGCAGGATTTGGCTTCTTGTAAGAGCTCTCTTCTTGGCTTACAGACTGCTGCCTTCTCACTCTGTCCTCGAGGCAGAGAGAGAGAGACAGAGAGAGATTCTAGTATCTCTTCCTCTTTTATAAGGACAGCAGTTCTATTTGATCAAGGTTCCTCCCTTATGACCGCACTTAACATTTTTTTTCCTTTAGAATTATTATATTAAATTATAAATGTATAACAGCTTTTAAACTCTACCCACGCACTTAAATTTTTTTAAAGGAAAAACGTTATGTCTTATTACACCATGATCCTGGCTAATAGCTTTTCAAAACTTTGAGAAAAATCTTAAAAAAGGTTTCACATGTCACCTGAAACTTACAAATTTAACATTATCAAAGAAGGAATGCTTCTACACTCTTACAAACACCACTAGAAAGAGACAACAATTAAAAAGCTAAGAAACTGTCTCAAAGGCATTTTTTTTTTTTTTTTTTACAATCCTTCCTCCACAGTAAGGTAATGTTATTAAATAATCCAATCCATTCACAAAATGGCTCTCTGCATCTCCTCTGGTGTAGTCTGCATATTTATGCATGACTGAGATGAGAGTTTCCTTAACATTGTTATTTCGATAACCTGAAGCTGTTCTGTTACCTCTGGGCTCTCATCCTCTCCTATTTATACAGTGAAGCCCATGGTAAATAGGAAGAAGATCAATATCGTCTTCTCCCTCTATACCCCCCACTTCCTCCACCACCTCCTGGACCATAGTTTCCTCCACCATATGGTCCTCCCATGTTTCTGCTACCACCAAAGTTTCC